TCTGTTGTGTTGTAGAAGATGACAACAAAATCGTACTGGTCTCTGATTCGCTTGACGCCGTGAGACACCGTGTATCTCCATTTGAATCGATTGACATTGAATTGCTGCGTGATTTTCTTTGTGAACGTTGGGATAGCATATTCCGTTGATGTCGCTTGGAAGTTATGTCGATGCCGTGTCCTTGTCGTGAAGATGGAAGCTGCTGATGGTGAAAAGATATGGGTCTCTTTAGAATTGAAAAAGTGGGCCGGGTCGGATGGGAATTGGGCTGGGTTGTCGGAATTGCTGGAATGAAATGAGTGGGCTGCTGTACTGTTGGGCATTAGTGTTGTAACGTATGGGATTTGCTGGAGTTTGGGAATTGTATGGCCCAACTTAGAGTCTTAAAAGGGTAAGGTAAAAGGATAGTTAAAATTGCAATAAAAGGGTTATTGCAATTAGAAAGACTACATGAATTAACAATTTAACCATACGAAATTAATGTTGTAGTCAAATTGATTTTGATTAGCAAATCTGGCTAAAATTTGAAAATAAGATGAATTGATATTAATTAATTAATGAGCTTCTTAATTTTAACAAAATAAAATAATTAACTTTATAAAAATAACTAATTCAACAACATATCCATAATTTAAACTAAGCCAAATTAATAAAGCGTTTAACTAAAAAAAAGAAAAAAAATTTCAAATATTTGTAAAATATATTAGTAACATATGTAAAGATTTTAAAACATATTCATTATTTAAAATAGAGAAAATGGTCAAATACACCCTCAATCTATAACCGAATTCTCAACTACACACTTATATTTTACAGGGGTCCTATTACCCCCTTGAACTATTTTAAAGTGGTATAAATGCACCCTTAAGTGCTGACATGGCACAGAGAGTGTGTTCACTCTCTTGAAGGCATGTGAAAATTGAAAAAACTGATAAAAGTATATTTAAAAATATTTATGACTTTTTTTTAAATATAATTTTTTTACTTTTGACTTTCATTTAATTTTCTCTACTCCCCCCCACCCCACCCCCTCATCTCTCTTATTACTCAAAAAAAAAATCACCCCACCTGTACATGTTCTTCATCACCATTGTTGAACTACCTCTAGTCCACTACCATAGCAGCCCATCTCTTCCCCCATCTTTTAATACTTTCTCATTATTTGTCTCACTATTTATTCACAATTCTTAACATTGTAAATCACCATTGAAATCACCAAATAAGCATTAAAATTATTACTCATATAGTGAATAAAATTAAATCGTCTTTAATCTCTTCACTCTAATAAAATTCACCAACTTTCAGATCTTATCTCTAATCTCTATTATTGTTCGATGAAGAATTCAAACTACACCCAATAACGATTTTAGGAACTTGAGCAGCAACCACCAGTTGATTATGCTCATCCCTGATAATCCAAATTATTTCCTCAAGTTTAAAAGGCATAAATCCTTCACTATTTAAAGAAGGAATCAAAAGGGCGCAATCGTACTCAAGTCCCAGACGATTAGCAAGAATTTCGAACTTGAAATTGGTGCCAAGATTGCAGAATTTG